AGATATAGGGTAGGCTGGTATATAAAAGAGGGGAATGTAATGTCTGGGTAGATAGTCGGTGTGTAATTGATCTGCGGTCAGAAGTATTATTGACGTTCGTTGATATAACACGATTGTTGAAGTTGAGTGTATCGGTAAAGTTATATTCAGAAAGAATAAACCAGTTTTATTAAGTAAAGACTTGTGTCGCTTAAGTTTCGTCGGAACGAAGTTACGGAAAATTAATTAACACACGGAGACGTAACAACACAATATCCCTTGAATGATATGTTGTTCACATTCATTACTAAGTATAACCAAGAACTTCATTCACCTGTTTATTCTCCAATAAAATATAACAATATATTTATTTTTATCAACAGAATGTAATATCACACTTTTCTTTTAGCAACTTATTTTTTAAACTTATGGCAGAAAATGGATATCAAGAAAGGAAATTGTTGATCCACCTGAGGAAGATGAAAACATCTTTTTGTCTCAAAGATTTCTTCCAGATTTTCCAACTTTTTCTCAGTTGCATCAAACATCTAAAGTTCCTGGTAATAATTTAATTATTTTTGCTATTAGTGTAATTGGATGTATAATGATAATATTTGTAACAAATAACTAGTTAATGATAGCTTCTAGATGCATATATTGATATTGAAAAAGTATAAGTTAGATAATGGTCCATAATTATTTTTATGATTATACATTCACGCTGATGGAATTTCTTTTACCGATCTAGAATAGAAACATTACATGTTATAGGATTGATCTATCTTTTGTCCCATCAGTCTAATCTTCTTGAGTATATCTGGAGAATCTCTCATCAGCAACTTTAGACAATATTAAAGCAAACATAATTTATGAAATATAATTCAAAGTGGTACAATTATTTTATATAAATGATGATATAGTATCTGTTTCTTGTTGATACCTACTGTATTGCATATCTTTAGAGAAATAAATAAGCTAAATTAATGTCAGTATATTGTTACTAAATAAACGTTTTTCTGGTGATACATAATTATTTAATTGTAAACTGTAATTCCTGCTCATATAAGATGTATTTGCAATATGCATTGAAGAATTAGTAAAATATTATTTCTTTGAGAATAAAATTACCTTTCTTGCTAATAGAAATAACAAACTATGCTATGTTCGTATGTGTAAAACTGTGATGTAGTTATGGTCAATTAAAAAGTTAAAAGTTCAGGTGCAAAAAAAATAATATATTGTTTGCTTGATGTATCATAAAGAATACTATGAGATATGTCATTGGTATTTGTTTTGTTTCAAAAACCACTAAAATTTTCTCAGCTAAACATCAGACATGAAAGACTAAGAAGCATCTAATTTAGTTTGTTTAGTCTGTTATTAGATTTACACTTAAGCCTTTAAAGTGCCTATAAGCACTAAATATCTAAAAAGCATTTATACATAATACAGTAATACACATAGATATTATTCATATTTTAGTTATTATCACTCAGAGTTAATTGTTTCATGAAATTGGGTAGGCTTACCTCTGAAATACTGAAAGCATTTCCTTTTCGAGTTTGAAAACCATGCTGTTAACAAAATGTAACTAAACATTTCTGAATATTCTTTAAGCACTGTAGACCATGTATCACTTATCCATAATTATTCACTCTCTCACTTTCCACATGACTTATTGCTTAAGCATCAGGGGATTTTATATAAGCTCTGCTTTCCTCTAATAATTTAGATGTTCTTGTTTACTGTATACTTTGCTGCAATATTCCTTATGTCCCATTAGTTTTTGCCACTTTCAGAATTTCTGTAACTTAGCTGGAAGCCTTTTCTACTTAACTGGCCTGTAGCATGCAGGAAAAAATCAAAGAGGGTATGTCAGCTCTAACAGCTTAATGTATTTGTGCCATTGTATACTGATATTTCTAATGGGTATAATGATAGTGTGGATGCTTGATTTGCATAACACTTACCATTTTCCTTTGTTTTTGATGAATGTAGATATTTTGTTAAGGCCTGTTCATTTTAGGGTCTGCAGAGCTGGATTTTTCTGCTGCAGTGTTAGTCCTTATTCTGACAACACTTCTGTTCATCTCATTGCTTTGTATCTCAGTAATATTATATATTTTCAACATTGAATCTATTTTCGTTACATCCGTGAGATGATTTGCATACTTGGGTTTATTATTTCACCTACTTTCTTGTGATATTGAGGTTGCAGATATTTTTCAAAAACCATCCGTGTATTTTTACACTTCATATTCTTTTTCTACTCTTCTTTCTCAAATTTTTGATACTAAGTTTGGTTCTTGGGGAGGGGTCTTACACATCTTGTTTTACTTTGGTGCAACATCAGTTTTCTGCTCTGCATGCTATGATTTGTCTTGGTCTGGGACATTCTTTTTCAGTACCATTATCAGTTATTATTGTTCTCCTTATTACTTTAATCAGAATCACTTATCCACTTTGAAATCTTTCTTACATATGGGTCTCATTGTTATTGTTTTTATTACCATATTATTGTTATGTTCCCTTGATATTTTTGCCCATTGGGCTGTGTTGAAAGGTGCTCATCTTTTAATTAGCTGATTACCTTATATGTATATCTATAGTTAAAAATGTTTTTTTTCAGGTATTCCACTCTCACTTTTTTCTGTTCAGGGAAAGCTTGCAACAGGTGTTGATTTGGGTTGTAGCATCTACTTTTGTTGCTTGTCATTCCCTTCTAGAATCCTGTGATATTTGAATGTTCCCATCATACACTTATACTTTTAGTATGATTTAGTATTGATGTAATCAATGTGGGTCTTTCTGACTCACAGACTTTCTGTCCTGGGTGACTCCTGTATCTGGATCTTTGGAGGGAGTTATCTCTGATTTTTGTTCACCTATGAACCCTTCATTTTGTGTTCCTTAGGTTCATCAGATTTTTCACTTTGATTTTTATTCATCACCAAAATTTGGCTACCAGTTTCTATACAATTGTGGATTTGGCAATGTTGAACCATTTCCACAAAAAAAGGGATATTGATATTGTACTTCATATCCTTCAGGGATTTTACTTTAATCTTTTTGTGTTGCCACAGATGAACAGCAAAAGATTGGAGAGTTGTCTTAGATCTTCCCATCTTATTTGTTATCTAGATATTTCTCCATTCTACACTTGCTTATTATAAGTTGTCATCATTATAAGGATGATTAGAGAATTGTTGCTCATTGGTTACCTCGCAATGAATTGACCTTCTTGTTAGCTTATTATCTGGGATGGATTGTTCATGGGTTCAAGTGTAAGCTTGCACCTGTTTAATTTGTGGTTCCACTGAAATTTTGTATTAACACTCTCAGGAACTCTTCACTTATCTCCTTTGGTGCATATACTTAATCTGCCAAATATATCCTGTCTGAGTTGAGAATGATGGCTTCTTCTTATATGGCAATTTCCATTGATTGTGCTTTCTACAGATACCATCAATGGGATCTTATCCCTTTGTGCGGCCTATTCTTAGAAGTTTTTTCTTTTGGGATTTCTCTTACTATTCGTGATTAATTTCTAATATGGCTCATTCATGAGCTTCCAACTGTATGTTCCCCTTCCATCTTCTCCGAATCTAGATCTTTTACCGATGCCTTTTTCCAGGTCTAGGATGATGTACTGTGAGACCCTTATTTTTGCGGTTTTTAGTCTTCTCAGATATCCCATTTTGACATCATTCTGTTAGAAATTTGGGCTGTTCCACATTAATGTCAGGAGTTTCTGCCTTTGTCACACCAGTGCTGTGTTTTAGTTCTCATGGACATTGCAAATGTGGTGACATATATCAACAGGCAGAGTGAGACTCAATCAAACAGTTTGCTACAGTTTTCTACTTTTCTGAAGTAGAATTTTTTTTATGTGCCTATGCCCTCTTCTTCATCTTCTTTCTCGGGTATTGGCCATGATAATTTGGTCCCATTATCCAGTTCATATTGTCTGATCCACCATAGTTTCCACTCTGCTTGCCTTTCCCAAGGGGGTCCTGTTCCATTGGTTTTTTTTGTTCATTTTTCATAATGATGTTTGTTGTCTATAGCTTCATGATTGGCTGTTATGTGGTCCTTTGCTAATGAATCTAGTTTTTTTTCTTGGGTATCTCAAATATTGCCACTTTCTTGCAGATGTTTCTCCTTGACAGTATACCGAGATACATACTATGTAAGGCCATACTTCAGAGGAACAAACAGCCTTCACTAGATATAGAAAATGTTCGGAAAAAAGAGAATAAGGGTCAGTTAGAATAGGTAATACAACAGGATGAAAAACATTGGTGACAGATCTCACAGCTCAAGTCTCTGCAATCTTAGAAAAGAGAAGAGAGTAAGAAAACTGTCAATAGCCAAAAAAATTCCAAATGTTCCCCCTTAAACAAATAACAAAATAAAATATATCTTCAGGGAAGGATGATAGAGTGAACCGAATTCAAAAAGAGAAAACAGGCAACTTCAAACCAGACTTACGTTCCACTGAGGACAATGTCTAGGTACTTGGGGGAAGACATAATAAAACAAACTCAAAAAAGAATTTCTGTGACAACTAAAAGTAGCTGAGAGTACAGCTTGGTAACCTGCAATAAAAGCATACAATTCCTGTTTGTGAAAGAAGTACACATAAAAAATGAGATAGGCATTTTAATGAGTTGGAAAAAGACAAAACCCAAATTCCACAGGCATCAACTCAGAAAGACAGAGTAATAAGGTCAGTTGCTCCCCTGAGAACCTTCTATTGCAGGAGCAGAACATAGTATTCCTCCTATGTGGTTATACTACCACATTACTTCACAAGTTCAGTATGCCATTATTGCTCACAGAGCTGAACCCTTTGCCTGAATTACAGTGCATCATGTGTGAAGTTATCTCTTGCTAGAAGAATACCTTCTTTCTGAGTGTCCTTTATGTCCAGTCTTTTTATGAGGCTGGTCTACTCCACTCATTTACCCTCGATTTCAGCTATGCAAATTTTTCTGGTTCTGGATTTTACTCAGATCCTGCTTGGCTACATATTTCTTGTAGTCTGGATTATTATCCACCTGTTTGAAGTTTTATATTTTCAGTATCTTTTTCATGTTCATCTGTTCCCACCTCCTCTACAATTTGTGGGTATTCTCGCTTACAGTATTTCAGTAGTAAGTCTACCTGATTTGAATTTTAGATTTTTATAATTGAAATGAATTTAAAACAGGTACTTACATCTGAAATACCCTCCTTCCTGCTTCCCCACAACTGAAACCTTATCACAACTGCAACTTCCAACAGAATCTAAATTATGGTGAGAAAGCAGTGCTTACACAAGATCTCCTGGTGCTTGCACAATAAGTCAGAGGGAAGGTGGAGAATTATTGGTACAGTGATGCATTCTATATATATACAGAGTTCAAACTCAATAAGGAAAGGTTTTCAGTATTTCAGAGCTAAGTACTTGTTTGAAATTCATTTTGATTACAAAAAATCAGTGATTATATGAATGTTTACAATATAGCCATTACAGCAGGCCAGTTCAACACACAAGTTCAACAAATTGAAAGGCTTCATAATAACGTAGCATCAAAACTGCTTCAACCTTCTGATCTTTTAGAGGACCTTCCAAATTCTCAAAGTCTCTTTTATGAAGAAGAATCAAACTCATTATCACAGCCAGCAAAACTATCAAGCCATATGAAGTAACTAATACTTTTTGAATTTTTCATGATTTTTTCTTGTTTTTCAAAAACCAAAACTATGATTTAATTCTATAATATACTGAAGAAGTAAGTTTTGAAATTGTTTGCAATTATTCCTTTAATTTTTATAATTTTAAAAGAATAAGTTCTTGTTTTCAGAGTTAATTATGAGTATGTGCATATGCATATCAAAAGTGTGGATTTTTGTATTTGAGAACTTTTAGGTAGATTTGTGTAGTTTAAGCAAATTTTAATTAACCTTGTTGATATGATTTCATAACTATGAATTTACTTAAAAAAAAAGTCTTACTTATGCATTATCAGTGTTTTTCACATTTTTATAATTTTATTTGTTACCAATTTAGGATTTATGAGGGTTTTGTTTCTGTGCAATAAATTTTATTTATTGTTTTACTGTTGATTATAAGTTTATTTGTGGCTAAACAATTGAATTTCTAAGGGTAATTTCATTTTATATAACTCAGTATACTTAGAAAAGAGTAATAAGTAACAAAAAAGTTTACATGACTCATGATTTCTTGGGAAGTGGGATCAAGTGCATCCTAATTCATCACTGTTTTGCATACATACTGGCAAGTTATGTTGATATAACACAATTTATGCATCCATAAATCAAACTTACTCTGAAGAATCTTAAAACTTGTCATTGAAATCCATATCCTATTTTTCTTTTCTAGATCATAGCAATTGATTTTTATGTACATTACTAAGATTTATTTTGACAGTGCTTTTCTGTATACTTAATTGATTTTTTTTTCTGTTTCTTCTTAATTTTGAAATGATGTGTAAATTTCAATCACTTTCTTTATCATTCATATTTATCCTGGTTCTAATTATAACCAAGATGAGAATGGTAGGCTCAGAATAAATGGCATGGATAGTATAATCAAAATTCCTTTAGAAAAGTATGGTTTACAAGTGTTTTGAAAGTTTTGTTTGTGCATTATCTATTCTTAATTTTCTAAACTGATGATTAAGTCAATATGTTAACAGAAAGGGTACCCAACTGATGATGTAATCAAATCTGATTGTTATAGGTCTGTTGTGTTATGAGGTGCTTTACTTGAATTGTATAGACTTGAAAAACTTCAAATCATTATTATTTAACAGACAACAGGAATAACAGTGTGCATATTGGAATGTTTTAAAAATTACATAAAAAGCTATAGTTTAAAGTACATGCAAGAAAGAATGTCAAGTTTATCAGTAGAAGGGGTGCTAAGAATTACAATTTTAATCATAATGATACATCTTGATAAACATGATACCGTCAAAGCAGTCCATTTTATCTACAGTTTAAATTAATACATATATAATATATATGTGTGAGTGTGTATAAATATGTACATAACACACCGAGCCCTTAAAAGTATTTGTAAATTGACATCATTCTGACTCAGAGTCTGACAATAAAATACTTTTGTTCATCACACAATTTGCATATTGTGTTTGCATAACCTCTATAACCTGGAAATGCATATCTACAGGTTCTCTTAATATTCCTGTATATTGTATCTGGTACTTACTCTCCTATAACATGAATTGTCCCTAAATCAGCAGTGTGAGATAGAATGAATAGTTCATAATTCTGACATCAAATACATATTACCATGTTGAATGGCTCTCTGAGAAAAAATCACAGCACGTGCACTTTGACCCACACTCATACACATAGATTATTGTGCATGACACTAACCAATGTAATTGATGCTCATAAGTAATCAACTATATCAATTAATAAAGTTAATCACCCAGTTCCACTTAACTTATTTAACTGTTTATTATTTTTACTGTTAAATCTATTAATTATATGTCTCCCTAATATCTAACCTATGTGATGTTTTGCATACAACAAACTTTTACATTTACTAAAAGCTTGCCACATTTTGTATAGATAAACATAGTACATTTGGAATTATAGTCAACATTCCCTGTCCAATATTGAATCAATCCATTGGACTAACCCTTTGCACATTGGGTTAATCAAAATTACAACTAGATAGTTAATGTCATGAAAATACCAAACTAATGGAAATATTGCCATTAGGATTTCTCATTATTATTTTTGATTAATTCAGAATTCAGTTTAATTGATTATTGCCAGGACTCATGAAAATAATCAGTTGATTGACGTGAGTATTTCTCATTATTACTAATTTTGATTATTCCAACAATCCAAGTCTGGTGAGATGAATCGATTAGTTGAACTTAATTGATTAACAAGTCCAGTGATTAATTGATTAGCAAATTCCATTAACTGCCCAGCAATAAAGTTCAGCAACTTTGTGGGATTTTATTAATTTCTTTTATTATAGAGTCAACAATTTTCATGATTTTATATAATAGTAAACTTCTGTACGTTTGTTTCATTGATTTCCATTGTGTTGTTTAGGAATGGAGAAGGAGCAAGCACAGAGTTGTTAACTTTTCTCCAATGAGTAATATACGTATTTAAGAATAAAAATTTGCTTCTGCCTGTTTCTCAATGTAAAATCCTACCTGAAAACTAACTTACAGTTATCCATCTTTACTAGTTTTTATCCATGGTCAAACATCCAGTGTGTTCAAGATATTTTAAAGAATTTAAAATTAACAACACTGTTAAAAAATTAGCTATGGGAGGCAAAACTTTTTTTTAGATCATTGCTGAAAAACTCTTCAATGCACCATTGATGGTCGATAAACATTATAAGTTTGACAAAGCTTGAAGAACTTCAGAGAACTAATAGCAAAAAGCAATCTTGTGGGTTACTGACTGTTCTAAAGTAATGAAATCTGGAAGAAATAACTGTAAATATGATTTTGGACATAGAATAGCTTAATTCCTTTGTGCATCTGCCTATTAGATTTGCATGCCACTAGCCTTGAGCTACTTCCCACCTAAGAAACACATGTATAATGTGAACTGCATTATTGCAATGATAGCACTCTACCAATAAGAGGATGACATAACCTCCTTGCACAATAGCTTCCCCTAAGCACTTGTGTTCGATTCAACTTCATTTTTTTCCTTAGCATTGTCTAGAATGAATGTGTTTCAATATTGTTTATTAATTACTTGAGTAAATGGATGTATATATAATGTGAAGGTTCTGTTTTCTAGCAAGTGGAGTAAATGCTTGAATAAATGGTAGTATAAGTCATGTTCAAGCAGAGATTAGGTACAAGGCAACCCATTCCAAAGGCCAACTACCCCGTTAGAAAAATGAAACTGTCTTAGCAAAAGATGACACCTAGACTGGATCCTTCCGACTGAGTGTTTTCAGTGCATCTGCTCCCACTTTGACATTCCTTGTATCACTGGTTTTCTGACTCCCTTCAACTCCTAGTTTTCACTTTTTTTATCTAAGGTCCCAGACTCTACATCTTTTGGCAGTGAATATTCTGAATCTTGATTAGTTCAGTCTTGTTTAATATGCCTGTTCTCCTTTCCCATTTTTCCCATTTTTACTATTCCTGGTTGCAGGACATTTTTTCTTACTTCCACTTTAACTGGTTGTATTATACACATCATCTGACAAGTTTATTCTTCTTTGAGTGAAGACACTTTTTGTCTTTTTTCATGCCTCCTTTCATCAAGTTCATTATCTCACAGTGTCTCTTGTGGATGACTCCAACTCCTTTGTGTTATATTATTTACACCACATGGCTATTTCATCTACCCCTGCATTTTGTCTTCTTTCATCTGTCATTCTCTAATTTTCACAGAGACTCTCAGAAGGTGAGTTGTTAAATTTTCTAATTTTTAACAGGTTGCACCACCACTTTATTCAATCTGTATAATCTGTGTTATGGAGATAATGTTGCCTCACAGAAAATACTTTCCTCTCTCTCTCTTTGAATCCAAATCAAGTAGAAAAATAACAGAACCTATTGTTACATCTCCGTTCGTTAGTTAATTAATTTTCCGTAAATCCGTTCCAACGAAACTTTAGCGACACAAGTCCTTTCTTAAATAAAACTGGTTTATTCTTTCTGAATATAACTTTGTGATACACTTAATTTCAACAGTCGCGCTATAATTCTCAACGAACGTCTCACGTAGCTCGACTTCAACAATACTCAATTACACACTTTCTGACTGCAGTTCAATTACTCATTACCCTCTGTTGTCCCGTCACGTTGTGAACATCTTATATATACAAGCCTACACTATATCTAGAAGAATCACGAGATTTAAGGAAAAGACGTGAATGTT